GAGGAACTGTTGCCCGCGGCACAGTAAGACAAGCCTAGGCCCACTTGTCGACGACCGTTTCGTTTACTGCAACATAACACAGATACAGCCATTAGTGGTACTGCCGGTGTGGAACTACACTGCGGGCGAAACAGCAAGCCGCTCCGATTAGACGCATTATCTCTGTGGCTGTCTGACCTCCCTCTAAATTCTCACGCGGTTACGATCAGACACCGGGTCGTCCTCGTTTTGTAATTTGTTATCTCATCGCACGAAATTGTCCTTCTTGTTTTCTTCTACTCTGTTTAACATCCCCCAGAACTACCCTTCGTGAGGCGACACAATAGATCCACGATGAAAAAAATGTACGACGTGTGTTTTGTGTGTGTATCATCCCCCGGACTATTGAATTCGTTCTTCTATTATTATTAACGTGACTTTTTTGTTTCGGCTTTTCGTTTCGCCTGTCCCGATGCGTGTGAGTAATACGTGTGTAATGTGTGTTCAACCGAGTGTCAAATAGTATTCTCTGTGACTCTGTTTTTGGTTTTTTGGATTTTTTGTTTTTTTTCTGTCGTTTGATCCCATCGAGCAGCTTGTTGCGGGTTGTTGCGGGTGGGTGTTAAGTGCCTTTGACGATTTCTCGTGTCCGGACAGGTGTCGATTCGTCCTACGTGTCCCGATCTTTATTTCGGCGGCGTCACTGGTGGTGCCACTGTAAGCATATCATCGAATTTCCATTATTCACCGGGGTGCCGGCCAGCGAAGCCCTGGATAACAGAACTCACGACGGAACGTTAACAACCGTGTGGAAACCGGCTTTTACGGTTTCACCGATCCCGCCCAGTGGACGCAGCGTCGATCGAGTCTGCCCCGCACGTTGCGAGAAACAACTGCCGAGTCGTGTGATGTCGTGTTGGTTGTCCGATGTTGTATCGTTCGATGTTTCGCGCGAGAATTTCGCCAATCGAATCGTCTAATCGGAATACTTGACATCGGATTAATTCGTTGCTTTTCATTAACGTGTTGCATACAGCACTCTGCTTGTAGGATTTTCTCGTGGGAATTGAATTCTTGTGGAATTAATTGTAGTTTGTAGTTTGAATAAGGAACTTTCTATTAGAGTGTCCCTGTTACTAGCTACTATGGAATTTGAAGAACAGGATATTTTAAGTCGAGTCTTATTTCTTTCAGAAATTAAATGCATTGGTTTAATAAGCTAACAATACAAATGGAGAAGTTGGAATTTTTTCCTAATAAATGCTTTATATAGGAATGTTTATAGAAAACTCGAATGGTTCTAAATTAATCGAGTAATCGAATGCACGTTTCAATGATTTCCCTGACTTTAAATATCTACCTTGATACACGAAAAATCCACGTGAAACAATCTCATTCTGAGAAAAGGTAGAAATACCTAAAACTCTGTCTTGTACATAATATTCATTCTGTAAGTAATCATTAAACTAACAAATCCAAACAATGCAAAATATTCTTTCACATAATACCACACAAGAATCTCCACAGTTCTGCTGCGCAATGGACGCGAAATCTATCCAATAATCTTAATTAATAATCATCCTCAAGTAATTAAATTCCTGTTCGTCTAAGCAACACGTACCCCGACCCTACTTTGTCGATGGAATATTTTTAACCTTCCTTTCAAGTATTTTCCCCATAGAACATATTGGGCTCGACAACCACATGTAACACGCTAATGAAAATCTTGCTCGTAGATCGTACAAATTAAAAGTGATTTATAATACATGGGAACAAATTCTACTATGGTCACTCCGAAAGAAAAGCAACCGGAGGGGTGGCGAATCATAGATTCGTTTTCGGTTCGACTCACAACAAACTCGACGTCACACGTCCACTGTGACGAGTTGAATCTATTCCGGGAAATATCACGGTATCAATGTCTCGTCGTAAGGGTATATAGTAACAATTAAAGGTTCTTGGCTTACGTGATAACAATTGGTAAGTGAAAATCGTTACCTGAGCAGTCCAGTCGCTCGGATTTGTTCTTCCGGTTCAGAGAACCTGCCGCTGGTCGGTCTGCTTCTTGACTGAATAGTTTCGCACACCAATCAGGCAGGAGTTAGCAAAAAAAGTGTGTCGGGTTGCGGTGTCGGGGATAACTTCTTCGATTAGGAGTGTTATTATTATTATCATTATTATTCATCATCACCACCATCATCGTCGTCGTTATCATCATTATTATTATTATCATACATATATACATATACATTAACGGGCCTGAACCCGGTCAAGAGTGTTGGTCATTCCAGGCTGGCACGACAGGTATCAAATCGATTTGATGTTTCTGTCCGGTAGGTGTATGCAAAAATTCAAACAAACAAACAACAAAAAAAGAAGAATTCCAAAGACACAGAATATATGACGGCACAAGGATGATGATTCGACACGAGTATCGGCGATGGACAGTTGCGAATCCACCTTGTGTTTGTCGTTCGATGCGGGGTACTGTTCGCACGATTCGACCACACTGATTATGTTTAAGGACAATATGCCTTCGTCGAATGATCGGTCGTACGGTTTCCGTATTCGTAGATCTGATGGGCAATGAGGTGGCGAAGTATGAAACAAAAAGGCGTATGTAGTTGGAGGTGTTTAACGGATACTGGGTGGAACATGGGGGTAGATGTGAAGAAC